TCCACATGGTTTCCTCGCTCATGTGTACAGGTGACATGGACATCTGGGCTGCAACTTAAGACCCAGACATCGAGCTGAGGAGGATTAGAAGCAGAGTGGTCATTCCAGCAGCTTATATAGGAGAGGGTCCCTTTCCAATGGCTCTGCTGAAGACCAACTCCATCAGGCTGCTCTTTTAAGCATCACCCACAGCTGCTATTCCACCAGGCTACAGCAGATGAATCATGGTACCACAGGGCTTCTATATCTGCTCTGCTGAAAGACCTGCAACTTCCGGCTCCCCCTCCACGTCTTGACACGCAATTTTCGAAGAATGGCCCTGTTTCGGTTCTCAGATCATTTTGGAAAGGGTGAATTTGATATATTCAGCTTTAAACACAAACTGAATTGGTTTCCTCGGTAGTGGCACCAAGGAGATTTTGGTCTGCTTTTTCCATCTGGAGACCAGAAAACCTTGTGGAACGCTCTCCCACCAGATGTCAAAGAGAAGAACAACTACCAGACTTTTAGAAGACATCTGAAGGCAGCCCTGTTTAGGGAAGCTTCTAATGTTTGATGGACTATTGTATTTTAATATTTCTTGGAAGCCGCCCAGAGTGGGTGGAGAAACCCAGCCAGATGGGTGGGGTATAAATAATAAATATTGTTATTCTTTTTATTATTATTATTATTCCTCTCCAATCTCTGGGCACCAGGTTCAATCTCCAGACAGGCTCTTATCTGAAACCTTGGACAGTCACTGCCAGGCAGTGCAAACACTACTGAACTAAATGGCCCATTGGCCTGACTCTGTATAAGGCAGCTTCTTCTGTTCCTTTGCAACTGCTGCCAGTCAGTGCCCAATGTATAGGGAACCAGTACAAGGCAGCTTATTATGTTCCTATGACAAAATACACACAGAAGCTTTCTCCCCCCTGCAAATGTATGTATTGCAGTTAACTTCCTCTCCCCCCCCCACCCCACTCTGAACACTCAGCCTCCTGCCTTGAATGCCAATTAAATTACCTGCTCACAGGAAATGTCCAAGTAAGAGATAAAGCACGTGCCCAGTAATGATTAAACAGAAATGGTTTCCTGTTAAGGGGGTACCATGGAAGTCTGCATATTTCCCCTCTACCCCTTCAGTCTCATTGCTGCCACTGCGGCATCTGCAAGGCTAAGTTAATCATTGGCCTTGCTGTCTGCCTCTTTGCACAGCCACAACTTCGTTTCATTGCAGGTATGCCCCCCCCCCCCGCCCTCCATCATCACAAACCCTCCCCAAACAACTGCAGCCTTGTTGCTTGCAAGCCCCACCCAATGCCAGAATGTCTATGGGGGGGATGTTCACTTTTTATTTATGTACAGTGGTACCTCAGTTGCTGAATGTAATCTGTTCCAGAAGACCGTTCGACTTCTGAAACGTTCAGCAACTGAGGCGCAATGGGCGGTCAGCAAATCTCATTGAGAAAAAGGAGAACCGCGCCTCAGAAGCCATTTGACTTCTGAGGCGCACGAGGCATTTACTTCCAGGTTTTCGGCGTTCAGCTGCCAAAACATTTGGCAGCCGAGATGTCCAGAAACTGAGGTTCCACTGTACAGTGGTACCTCTGGATGCGAACGGGATCCATTCCAGAGCCCCGTTCGCATCCTGAAGAGAAGGCAACCCAAGTCTGCATGTCGCGATTCACCGCTTCTGCGCATGCACATAACGTCATTTTGAGCGTCTGCGCATGCGCGAGCGGCGAAACCCGGAAGTAACACATTCCTTTACTTCCGAGTCGCCGCGGAGCGCAACCTGAAAACGCTCAACCTGAAGCAACTTTAACCCGAGGTATAGCTATGGTTTTCCCAGTAGTGATGTATGGAAGTGAGAGCTGGACCATAAAGAAGGCTGATCGCCGAAGAATGGATGCTTTTGAATTGTGGTGCTGGAGGAGACTCTTGAGAGTCCCATGGACTGCAAGAAGATCAAACCTATCCATTCTTAAGGAAATCAGCCCTGAGTGCTCACTGGGAGGACAGATCCTGAAGCTGAGGCTCCAATACTTTGGCCCCCTCATGAGAAGAGAAGTCTCCCTGGAAAAGCCCCTGATGTTGGGAAAGATGGAGGGCACAAGGAGAAGGGGACGACAGAGGACGAGATGGTGGGACAGTGTTCTCGAAGCTACCAGCATGAGTTTGACCAAACTGCGGGAGGCAGTGGAAGACAGGAGTGCCTGGCGTGCTCTGGTCCAGGGGGTCACAAAGAGTCGGACATGACTAAATGACAACAACAACAACTGTATTTTGTGTTTTCCTTTTGCACTTTTATGTTATCCACCCTGTGATCTTCAGATGAAGGGTGGTGGTGTACAAATTTAATTAATAAATAAACAACATGGACCATGGGCTGAAAACATTTCCCCAACCCTGATCTAAAGCCATGTAGACACAACCCAAATCTCGACACAGGCCATTCTGCCCCAGTTCTTCCCTCCTGCATTTTGACCACTGCACCAGCCAGCATGGCTTTGCCATGGACATGGAAGGGTTATGTCAGCAACTGGAGTAACCCCACTAGCTTCCAAAAAAAACCGTGCTGATGTCACAGTATGACATCATGCTGGGTGGAGGCAGCTGTAGTAAAACTGGAGGCAGCTGCAGGACATTTGGGGCTTGTGCTGCTTATGGGCAGGGCAACCCATTTGCAAGGCTTTAGAATTAAGAGGCACTTACGGTTAGGGACCAACCCAAGCTAGAGTATCTAATAAAGCTCAGCTACATCTTATGTATTTAGAAACCAGGAAGATGCTTGTGCCAAAATGTGGGATTCCTCCCTTTTTGCACGCAGGGCAGAGGCAGATGAAAAACTCTCCCAGTCCCACCCCACTATCCACTGAATCACACCGTCCTCCAGACTTGAATCAGCATGGGATTGGGGACTCTTTAAAGAGCCGAATTTTGCTAATAAAGATAGTAGCTCTAAGCTCACAAAGGAAATCCACACACCCAGCCAAGCATAACAATCGGGCAAATTGCTGAGTATTACGGATACTGTGGTTCAAGCATCTTGCCAAGAGTTGGCTAAACCACCAGGACGACCGACTCGCCGATGCAAAATTTCGTGCTTTGATTTAGATGGGGAAGCTATTTCAGCTTGCATTTGTTGAACACCTTTGGAGCAACTACCAGTACCAGGGGGCAAGGGGAGAAAGAACGCAAGTCAAGCCATTCAGCGCTACTTCCGAAAATGAAAGCAAATTCTCATATCCTCTTCCAGCTATGGCAGAATTGCAGGTTACGTAGACCTTACATGCTTAAAGCTAGGCCTATGCATTGGTGTCAATTCTGGTGCTGGAGAGGAGTCTTGAGAGTCCCATGGACTGCAAGAAGATCAAACCTCTCCATTCTGAAGGAAATCAGCCCTGAGTGCTCTCTGGAAGGACAGATCAGGAAGCTGAGGCTCCAATACTTTGGCCACCTCATGAGAAGAGAAGACTCCCTGGAAAAGACCCTGATGTTGGGAAAGATGGAGGGCACAAGGAGAAGGGGATGGCAGAGGACAAGATGGTTGGATAGTGTTCTTGAAGCTACCAGCATGAGTTTGACCAAACTGCGGGAGGCAGTAGAAGACAGGAGTGCCTGGCATGCTCTGGTCCATGGGGTCACGAAGAGTCGGACACGACTAAACGACTAAACAACAACAATGCACTCGTGTCAAAACATGATGTCTCTACATCTAACACACAACAGACCACACCCTCCCCATTCAGGTCAGAGGAGGGTGTGTTTGTGTGTGGAATGTAGCTAAACACAGGCCAGACACAGCACCATACAGGCCCACTAAGTGGGGCAGCCCTACAAGACCAGGCCAGCATTTTGCTGCCCAAGTTTGAGGACAAGACGGCACATATACAAATGTGTCTAAATAAATGCACAGGATTTTTCTTTAATAATGATAATAAATGACACACTGATGGGGAAATAGAGCATACCAATCTTTCACACTGGGAAAAACAAAAAAATGGAGTTGACAAGTTCCGCTCATTCCTATATGCCATGATATACCTAACCCTACATCATCACTCTCCTTTAAAACACACAACTGTTTATGGTTAAGAACCTTGAAAATCCCAGTGGGCACATCACCTAGTGAAGACCCTATCCAGGCCCGCCAACCTACCCCAGGAAAGGAAAAAAAGAGGACCACCTGACACAGCCTGCTTCTCCCCCAGTTGCCAACACAGCCGAGTTGCCAGACAAGCAGCATAGCTTCGGGCTGACACCATCTCATTAACAGGCAACCATGAAAGATTTGTCCCGCTGCTCCAATTCCTGGATAGGCCACACATTTGGAAAGGCCAAAAATTCTTTGCTCGAAATAAAAGAGAGGGAAAAAGTTTGGGGTTGCTGGAGATTAGCCCCAGCTGTCTCAATTGCTTCAGCAGACCGTGAAACGGAGCAGCGGTGGCTCAAACAGGCCGCTTCACCCAAGTGACATCTGTTTAACACGGCTGCTGGTGCCCTGGATGCACAAGAGCAACAGTAATAGCTGCTACTAGGAAGGAGTCTCGTTTATCAGGATGCTGTGAAACAGGCAGGGAGGTTTGGCTTAAAACAGCAGAGATCTCCAGGGCGTGTATATATACACAGACAGATTGCTTTGATTGTGAAGAAGAAGAAGAAGAGTTTGGATTTGATATCCCGCTTTATCACTACCTGAAGGAGTCTCAAAGCGGCTAACATTCTCCTTTTCCTTCCTCACCCACAACAAACACTCTGTGAGGTGAGTGAGGCTGAGAGACTTCAAAGAAGTATGACTGGCCCAAGGTCACCCAGCAGCTGCAGGTGGAGGAGCGGGGAAGCGAACCCGGTTCACCAGATTACGAGACTACTGCTCTTAACCACTACACCACACTGGCTATGACTGACGTGTTAAATCTATTAGAGAGCTGCCATTTACCATGTCAGGCTATCAATCCATCATTGCCTATATTCCCTGGCTGTGGCTCTTCAGGATTTCAGGCAGGATCTTTACCTGGAGATGACGGGGATCGAACCTGGAACCTTCTGCACTCAGGCAAATTCTCTACCACTAAGCTACACCTCTTTCTCAAGCCAGGGTCCTCCCTTGTCCTGAATGCAGGGCCCACTTACACACATACCTGCTACTATGATTATTTTGACCATTAAAAAGGTAAAGGGACCCCTGACCATTAGGTCCAGTTGTGGTCCAGTTGTGGCGCTCATCTCGCTTTATTGGCCGAGAGAGCCAGTGTACAGCTTCCAGGTCATGTGGCCAGCATGACTAAGCCGGTTCTGGCGAACCAGAGCAGCGCATGGAAACGCCGTTTACCTTCCCGCCGGAGTGGTGCCTATTTATCTACTTGTACTTTGAGGTGCTTTCGAACTGCTAGGTTGGCAGAAGCACGGACCGAGCAACGGGAGCTCACCCCGTCGCAGGGATTCGAACCACCGACCTTCTGATCGGCAAGTCCTAGCTCTGTAGTTTAACCCACAGCGCCACCCGTGTCCCATTTTGACCATTATTTATTTTCTATACCACCCTCCATCCGATGATCACAGGGTTGTTTACAATATAAAAACACAAATACATAACATAATACAGTGGTACCTCGAGTTAAGTACTTAATTCGTTCTGGAGGTCTGTTCTTAACCTGAAACTGTTTTTAACCTGAAGCACCACTTTAGCTAATGGGGCCTCCTGCTGCTGCCGCGTCGCTGGAGCATGATTTCTGTTCTCATCCTGAAGCAAAGTTCTTAACCCGAGGTACTATTTCTGGGTTAGCGGAGTCTGTAACCTGAAGCGTATGTAACTTGAAGTGTATGTAACCCAAGGTACCACTGTAACAGACTAAAACAATGCCCCTCACCCACCCACCGATAGATTGTTTAATTAGCCAAAGGCTCAGGAGAAGAGGAATGTTAAACTTTAAGAAGCAGATACTCTTCCAGCAAACTACATCCCTGGCCTGCTAAAGTTCCCTACTGGTCCACTACTGCTCCTCTTATCTAAGGAATTCTGTGCAAGTAGAGATGTAGCCCCAACAAACTGAAGCACCTCTCATTTAATCTCACGGTTAATAAGGGCTTTAAAGCTCAGCGGGAAAACACTTGCTTTGCAGAGATCCTCTACCCAATGGCATCTCCAGGAATGTCTGGGAATGTCCCCTGTCTGACAAGCCCCTACCACCAGTCAGTGCAAGATGGGCCAAAAGTCTGCCTTGGTATAAGGAAGCTTTCTGTGATGCTAGTCTGAGAAGGGCTGTGTGACTAAGCAGAAGAGCACCTGGTTCAATCTCCAGGTAGGGGTGAGAAAGAGAAATCCCTGCCCAAAACAATAATCTGATGTCGACAATATTCTGATGTGTCAAGTCGGCTTCCTCTGCTAAGAACGGAGTTGTGCTACTTCCACAAAGAATTCCTTTTCTTGGTAGCTGCAAAAGATGGAAGGAGGAAGCATCTGCAAAGAATACATTCCAGTGGCACTGTAGGATCTGGAATGATTTTACCACGGGGCTGCACCCAAGCAGATCACATTACCCGCCCTGAGACAGGTTAAGTCCACCACACCTGAGATATCTCCCCTCCTACTACAATCTACCAAGAACCAGGATGGGGTTTTTGTTTTCTCACCCTCTGCTACATGGGTTGCCTCCTCTTCCTTTAACCCATCTCTTAGAGCAGGTGTTTTGCATGCAGAGGGTTCAGTCCCTGGCATCTTTCATTGAAAAAGAACCAGGCAGAAAGTTGCAAGACGGGCAGGAGGGACCACACATCCCTACCCAAGATCCTGGAATGCTGAGCTGCTGCAGTCAGAGTAGATGCTACTAGGCTTGCATTAAACAAAGTGGGGGCCCACCACAGAGACAAAAAAAAAAAAAAAAGCAGAGACATCACCTTGCCAACAAAGGTCTGTATATTTAAAGCTTATGGTTTTCCCAGCAATGATGTATGCAAGTGAGAGCTGGACCATAAAGAAGGCTGATCGCTGAATAATTGATGCTTTTGAATTCTGGTGCTGGAGGAGACTCTTGAGAGTCCCATGGACTGCAAGAAGATCAAACCGATCCATTCTTAAGGAAATCAGCCCTGAGTGCTCACTGGAAGGACAGATCCTGAAGCTGAGGCTCCAAGACTTTGGCCACCTCATGAGAAGAGAAGACTCCCTGGAAAAGACCCTGATGTTGGGAAAGACTGAGGGCACAAGGAGAAGGGGACGACAGAGGACAAGATGGTGGGACAGTGTTCTCGAAGCTACCAGCATGAGTTTGACCAAGGCAGTGGAAGACAGGAGTGCCTGGTGTGCTCTGGTCCATGGAGTCATGAAGAGTCGGACACGACTAAACAACAACAACCACAGAGACAGCCCTGCTCTTTCTAGCTACCAGCAGAAGATTTTCGTGGCACTGCTGAGCGGGTTTTCTTATTAACAGACACATGCATCTCCGAGCACCGCAACACCAATCCAAACTACCTGCTTTCAGTTAAAGGGCGGAGGGGAGAAAGAGATATCAAAAGTTTTCAGCAGCAGAACCGAACACAGTCCTTTCACACAGAAGTCCACTCCTGGTTATCTTTGTCCGTTTCACCGTCTAACATGAGAGGAGAGAGATCCCCTGAAGATCTACCAGCAGATCCTGATCTACCTTCTGCCCATGACTGCCCTATGAGTAGCCCAGGGTTTCGCTAGCAGGGTCTCCAGACAGCACAGTCTAAAGTAGGACGATTCAGCAGGCGCAACCTATACAGGCAGACAGAGGCTTAAGGAAAGCTGAGATGCCAACAAGACTCACTGGAAAAGAGCATTAAGCACATTGCAACAGCTGCTGCTGCTGCTGCAGGCCAAGCCAAAGACTGAGGCAGGTGCTGCAGACAGCTCCTGCATTATGGCCGTCGAAACCACACACACATTGCACAGTACTGAGGAAGGTGACCTATTCCACTAGCTTTAAGCTTTATCAGGAGATTCTGGGGCAAGCTCTATTACCATCCCTCTTAAGATAAGAACCACCTGCTGGACCCATCTAGTCCAGCATCCTGTTCACACAGTGGCCAACCAGACGGTTGAAACAGAGAACTGATTGGTTTCTCCCAAGTAACCAGTACAGATTCCCCAAGCATTTCCTTTCCGCTGTGTCCAATATTTTGCTGCTGATCACACCAAGGTAGGGTTACCAGATTTCCCCGGTTCCCGGAGACAGTCCCTGGATTTGCAAATCTGTCCCCGGGGAAATCTGCTACCAGGCTGGCTCCGGGCTGCTGACTGCCACTGCCAAAGGGGAACTGGGGACGTTCGGCGGTACAGATCTCCTAAGAAGCTGACTTCTACAAACTCAGTCCAATGAGCTCAGCATTGTTTCCACCAGAGATGGGGACCCAGAGCCCTCCACTCTTCCTTGTACACCCATTAGACTTTGCCGGCAAGGGCAGTGGTCCAGAGTGATGGAAGCCATTGTTGAACCAGCCTGGAAGGATCACAGGATCCACCTCCTGTGTCTACACTAGCTAGGAGAGGTTCTTCCCAGGTTTCACACTGGGGTCTTCTCCCCAGCCCTCCCTGGAGATTCCAGGGACTGAAACTGGGTCCTTTTGCATGCAAAGCAGATGTTCTACCATTCAGCTATGGCTACTTCAAACTGCCTTGAGTCAAACTGCCTTGAGATCCTTGGAAGAAAAGGCAGGGATATAAAGATGTAATAAATGGCAAAAGGAAATGCATGGAAAACAGATTTTGGAACATGCTCCAGAACTCTTCATATTTCCTGCATCTGGACCCTAGTACAAAGAACAAGTTCCCCTTCTGTCAGGATTTTGTGGATTGTGGCCAAGGGAATTTTACTCAGAAAAGACCCACTAAAATTAATGAACCTAAGTTAGCCATGCAGGAGTGTTTTGGATTCGAATACTGTCAGATACAGCCCTATGACCCCTGGCACATGGATCTCCTCCACCATTGCACCTACTGGGACGTCAGCAGTGGACTGAAACATCTACAGGTGTTCTTGCAAAACTGTATCACAGCCAGAAACTGCGGTCTGCTGCTCGCCTTTCAGCAGTAAAGCGTATCATTCAGCTTCAGAAACGGCACCGGATTGCTGTGCCCTCTGGAACAGATGCCTTCTACATGAGAGTGAGGTTTGTCTTAGCCCAGCCTTCCCTTTCTATCTGGCACCAGTTGCCTCTGGAAATGAGCTGCGTAAGACATAGTGATGATAGCCGCCCTCCTTTTCTACCATGAGATGAACTGCTGCCAACACTGGAGGCCCCCAGTGACCTTGCCTGGGCTAATCCAGAAACCATCTTCCTAACCAACTAGGACTGTTGAATCCAGTCAATACTGAAGCTCATACAATACAGTCAAATATTTGCAAGTTAATTGACAAAGGGTGATTTCCTCAGCTGCTTACACTGGGAAAGTCGTAAGAGGCAACAGTTACAGATGTTTGGCCAGACTGTCCCCTACACAATTACCACCAGGTTCCAAGGGACACTTCCGCGCAATGTGTTCCAAGCAGCTGTAGCCAGAACAGATTTGGTGGAAACCGCAAGCATCCTCGCAGCTTGCTCGTTTCTTTACAAAGCATCTTCCAAAAGGCAAAGTCCGTGTTAAAAGCACACTTTGCCATAGCCGCCACCTTTCCCAAGCACAGAGGATGTAACTTGCCCCAAGTTGTGATGAGGATCTGCTCTGCCCAAGGAATTCTACACAGTCATCATGCCAAAGGTTTTCCCAGTTCCAGCTCCATCACCCAAAAACCTCCTGCCTTCAGTACTCTGCCCATTCTCCCATGCCATCCCATCAGCCTAGAACTGCCTCGGCCTTTTATTCCAAAGGCTCGACCTCATTCCAGCAAGAAGCCTCTGCCTTAACTCCATAACCTTCATCCCACGGCAAAACCAGGCCTGAAGAACATCTGATGGCCCGTCTAGTCCAGCACCCTGTTCTCACAGTGGCCAACCAGATGCAGGATGCATTGCAATAGCGTTTACTTCACATTCATCCCATGGCAGTATCTCCACTTCTCCCACCCCTCCATTCTTAAGACACCTACCTCACTGCCTGGGCACTTATTTTTCCTACCCTGCTCCATAATGCACCTTGCACAGTTGGTGCTGCTGCGATATCCAAGCCAGCTCAAAACATTCTCGCCTGACATTCTGTCACACCATGTGATGACCAAGAACAAAACCCAGCAGGAAGCAAAGCAAAGAGAAGAAGGCTTGGTCGCAAGGTGATCAGGACCCCACAGGTTTCTGCTCCAGCCACAGGTGCATGAGGACAATATCAGAGCCCAGCTAGATCACACTAATAGTTCACCGGGTCCATCCATCCATCCACAGCCTGGTGCTGTGGTTGGGGCCAATGGGTGCTATACACCAAGACTTCCAGAGGGCACCAGGCTGGGGAAGGATGGGCTTAGTCCAATACCCTGCTTCTGCCTAACCACCAGAGGTATTTGGGAACCCCACAAGCAGCACCTAAAACCATCCGCCTCCCCCATCAACTGTGTTACAAATACTGGGCAAGTCAAGCCTTCAGCCTGCAGTAGAGACCTTAATAGGCATTAACATTTCTGCAGAACAGTCTCTCTCTAAAGGCATGCCCTGAACACCCATTAATGCCCATGCCTGGCGTATTAAGTAACGCTCTTTCCCTGCGGGGTTGCAATGCACCCATGCACATCGCCCAAACTGCAGGAATCTCTGCAATGCCCTGGCTTCCCCTGTTAAAGGCATCGCACACATGAATTAAGTGGCCTTTTCAACAGTCTTGCATGTAGAAAGGATTCTGTGGGCAAGTGCCGTGCTCTGCACCCATGCACCAATTCCTGCACTGCAGGGGGTTGGACTGGATGACCCTTGGTGTTCCTTCGTGGAATGGTAAAGTTGGAAGGGACCCCAAGGGTCATCTAGTCCAACTCCCTGCAACGCAGGAATCTCAGCTAAAGCATTCAACTTCTGCAATTGTATGATAAGCAGATACCTATTCCACCATATGTGGCACCCAGACTCCTCTTGTCCATGCAGAAAGAGATCCGTGCATGATTGTTATGTGCCTGCGCGCACAAACACTTTGGAGTGCTTCTTTTCCAGGTATGATACTTGTCAGGAATCCAAAACATCCATTAAGCATTGAGGTTTAAGAAGAGGCAAGCAATGGCCACGCTTCAAGGAGAGGACCTCAGCAGGTTGAAGAGGTGGAAGTTACAGAGGGAAGCAGGTTAAAGCAATCTCCTTGCATTTTATTTAATTCTTTCTGCAGTAAAACAGAAACCTCATCTTGCTATGGTGCTTGTGGGTTGCGGGGGGGGGGGGGTGAGAGGCTGGCTATTTGCCTCCGATCCCAGCCTACAGAGAATGGATCCTCCCAGAGAAACAAAATAAATAGAAATGAACAAGACGAAGGGAGGGAGGGAGAGTGCAAAAAGAAACTTTCCCATGAAAATATTTTATTTTCTTAGAGAACAGGATACACCTGCGAGTCTTAACACCAGAGGGTAGTTGGGGGGTGGTGGTTTTGGTTTTTTTTAAAACTTAATTCATGGATTAATGGACCCCTCTGCTGGCAGGAGCCAGAACTGCACTTAAAACCATCCGCTCCCCACCCCCCTCAAACTAGAGTGGTTTTAACAAGTGGTAAGGAAGGTCAACTTTTTACAACTGCATCCAATTGCTCCAATTGCCATCAGGCTTAATTAGAAGTAGGGGCAGCAAAACACAGAGCCAAAAGGATGCTTTTGATCAAACAGGAGCAGATTGTGCTTCTCTTTCAAACTTCATTAAAACAGGGGAAGACGTAGCAAGTTTTTGGCGGATGGGGGAGTAAGAAGGAGAGAGCAACAGCAGCCACAACAGGACACCCAGCACGCAATAGTTTTGCTCCTTTTTTCCTCTCCGGTGGGAAGGATCTGAGATCAGAAGAACAGCCTTTCGACCTATGACAGCTCCCCACCCATTTTGCATTTCCAGAAAGGAAGCTGCAGAAATCAGAGCAGGCACACAGAGGAGGGAGGATGGGGAGGGACTCAGACATACCAGCTCAGAAGGGTGGGGGACATACTTCCAAGACAGGCCGGTGAGGGTTTTTTTTAAAAAGGGGGGGAAGGGCACTTTCCCAGACACAGAGTCTTATGAAATACAGGAAGAAGAAAAGAAACAGCTTATTCTCGCTGTTCTCTTTGATTGCCTGCCCACCAAATGCCAGAGCTTAGAAACACATGGCAGCAGTAATCACTATAGCTGGGGCAGGGTGGGAGAGAGAAGGAGCCACACACACACACACACCAGGGCACCAGAAATGCACATTCCAGACCCTGCAATTGCATCTCGACAAACGCATTCACAGGAGCCCTGATGCCCCTTACAGCAGAAATCTCACACACCATCTCTGCAGCATCAATGTACACCCCTGGTGACTAAAGCTCATTCTCACAGCTGGCTTCCAATGTAAGATCTTGCAGACTAAGTGATTAAGTTCCACCATCTCCTTAGTGGAGCTACCTACCATTCTCATGCAAAATGCCTCCCACCTGTGAACTCCAGGTGAGCAACAAGTAAAAGAAATACTTTGGATTTTCTTACAGGAGCCTGTTCTTGTAAGCCACTGCAGGTAGATATGGAGTCAGAAGGCTATATCCTTGATTGGCCTGTAGGGTTGCTGGAGGAGCATGCATCTGGCAAAGTAGACTGTTGCCTTCTAAGTTTGTTCTACAGGGAGCCAATTTAGCCTCAAAAGGTAGCACAGCTCCACAAGCCACGCCAGCCTACTGCTATAAGGAACAACCAGCATGATCCATCCCATAAATAAAATGCATCTTGTCATTTCCTAACAGAGTCATCTGTAAATTGCACGGCCAGCAAAAAACTCACAAGACACAGAAAGGAAGAGTGACCACAAACATTTAAAACCAATGTCAGCTTGCAGAACCCAGGCTGTTGCCCACCACTAAACGCCACGGAAAAGAAAAATAAATAGAGGGCGTCCAGATCAGCACAATGTTTTATAGCAAAAGCAAAAAAAACCCCTCTCACCTCACTCTTCCAAGCCTGCTCAGCTTCCAGGGAAATTCAAGGCAAGCCAAGCAATGGATATTCTTCCAAAGTGCAAAGCGGAGCGGGGAAAGAGCTCAACAAACTGTTCCCAGCTGACAGCCTGGAACTTCAGACATGAAGTTAACATGGAAAGGGGATGCAGTTCAAGCAAGCCAGGAGCCATGCCTTGAGCAGAAAGGCCAACTCGCCACCAGCAGCATTCAGACTCAAGCCAATTCCTCAAGACCAGCCTAATACCAACTTAAAGCAAATCCACAGGGTTTAAACAGGTTGACATTGCCATCTTTGCCCAGGACAAGGCTCATGAGTCACCCACACAAGCAGAGGAAGGGAGGGTCATTGCTAGAGTGCCAAAGTAGAAGCAAAGACCCAGCCCCCTTAAGCTTTGCCACTTCTCCCAAAACACCCACCACTTTGACACCGCATATTGTTCTTATGCAATCTACCGAAGATTTTCATTGCGGGGTGAGGAACACACAATACAATCTTTGGACATTTCCTAACACACATTTAGGAAGGGTCTTCTTTGGAAAGAGCATCAGAAGGGGCTACACAGGTAGTTTGCAAGGAGGAGAAAGGAGACAAAAATTGTGCATTTGTGTTTCACACCCCCCCAAGAGAGTCACTTGGTTCTACAGGGAAAGTGGCACCCCCAAATTACTCCTCTCCCACTTCCTGTCCCTCCCCTCCAATTCAATGCAATCAGATTCTTAGACGGGTGACTGCGTGGAACAAGGAATCGTTTGCCACTTGTTGGATGCACCTGACCCCAAATAATTTGGGGAGGGGGATAATAAAGAAGGGGAGGATTGGTCTACATAGCAAACAGCCCTGGATGCTACAGAACATCCTAAACAACCTATAATGCGGAGAAGGGAGAGTGGAAACAGGTGGTTCAGGTAAGAGATTCGTGCAAAGTGCACCCCTCATCCCTAAACATTCCTACAGGGCAGGGAGGGGGGGTCTGAAAAAACTTTGCCGGGAGATGTGGTGGGCTTTGGGTGGAGAGAGGGGGGAATATTGAAAAAGGGGTTTTAGTAAGGGGAAAATACAGACTGCATAGAGGCTGGGTTAAGCAGCCTGCACGCGATTTTCTTACGCAGTATTTTGGAGCGGTGCGTTTTACGCGCCGGAGAGAAGCGCTCGCGGGTCGTCCAGCGGGCAGGGACGCCGCCGGAGCGAGCGAGCGAGCAACCTGCCGCTCTCTGCTGGAAGGTGAAGCGGGATTATGGGGCACACCTAAGGGAGACAGAGGCAGCCGGATTGCTGCCAAGTCACGCAGGGGTGGGGGTGGGGAGGGGGCACAGCGGGCGCCCTATATGAAAATGGAAGGGAGAGAGAATAGGGAAGGGCGTCGAGGTTTTGGCTTAAATGCAAAAGTTGCAAAACCTCAGGGTTTGCAAGCAGCATGTTGGAGAGAGGAGGAGGAAGAGGCAGGCTCGACGGTACGGTGATGGGCGCACGCCACGGCTGCGAGGGCGAACACTGCTAGCAGGTTGTAGTGGGGGCAGAGGAAGGCACGAAGGTGAACTTGCAAAAGACAAGCCCCGTTTCCAGGGACGCATTTTACGAACAAATAAAAAGCGGACAGCGGGTTTGCTCTGAAGCAGGCCCCTCCCAGGTCGAGGGCGCTTTACTCGCGAGGAAGCGCGCACAGCGCTGCAGCCCCAGCCACCGCAACCAGATCCCCTTGCTCCTACCGGCCCCCGAATACCCAGCGGCGCTTTACTTCCCACGAAGCGCAGCGTCGCTTGCGCGCGGGTGAAGCGCAGCGCGATCCAAAGGCAACCGATCCCGGAGCAGCCAGCGGCGGCCCGGGGCTCGCTTCCTCGCGAGCAAAGCGTCGCAGCGCCACGCGATCGCCGGCTGCAGAGTCCGACCCCGCCGCGTTACCTCTGGAGAGGAGATTAGGGGGGTGTCAGATAAAAAGCAGCCCCCGAGGTGAGGCAGCCGCGCCCGCCGCCGACTTACCCGAAGTAGGCAAGGGACGGTCCCGGGGCGCCGGCGAGCAGCAGCACTAGGAGCGCGCAGGAGGCGGAGGAGAAGAAGAGCCAGCGGAGCAGGCGGTGTCCATCCAGCATTTTGCTGCGGCGCTCGGGCTGACCATCTCGTTCCTTCCCCCGCGGAGCCGGATCAGCAGCCGGGCGGCTGGAGGCGGCCGCTTTATAGGGAGGCCGGCGGCGTCCCGAGCCCAGCTGCGAGCCGGGGGCGGGGCCCCGAGCAGGGAGGCGAAGGCCGGGGGCGGGGCCAGGAGGGGAGTCCCGCCCCCTCCGCTCCGCCTCCCTCCCCCCCTCCCCCGCGCGCGCTCCGGGTGGAGAGCGGCGCAAAGGAGGCAGCGCTGCGCTCGGCTAGAGCGAGGCTGAGAGGCGAGCTTCGGGTCCTGAGCTGAACACGGAGAGGTGGATCCGAGAAGGGGAAAGTCGATCTTCGGCCAGGGCAGCAGCAACTGGTCTCTGAAACTCCCCGCCTGTTGCCCTGCTGGCTTCGCAGCCTGCTAAAAACTCTCCTTTCTCCCCAACCCCCTTCCCCTTACGCATCAGGAAGAACTTTCTGATGGTAACTTACCTGGCAAGGTGATGGACTTGCCTTTGTTGGAGGTTTTCCAGCAGAGGTCGGGGGGCCACCTGCCAGGGATTATCCAGCAATGATTAGTGGATTGCAGGGGGTTGGACTAGATGACCCGAAGGGGTCCCTTCCAATTCTACAATTCTGTGTTTCCAAGCATTTGGAGGTTTTTTAAAAAAACAACAGTTGATTTTGCCTATATCTTGATGCTTTTAATATGTGCGCTGTTTTTAAAAGCCTGCCATTTTTTTAAAATGACAGATTTGTTTATTTACTTACAGCATCTATTTATTTATTTCACTGAAGGTATACAGTGGTACCTCTGGCTGTGAACGGGATCCGTTCCGGAGGCCCGTTCGCAACATGAAAAGAGCGCAACCCGCAGCGGCGTGTGTGCACGCGTGGATCGTGATTCTCCGCATATGCGCGTGATGTCATTTTGCGCTTCTGCGTATGCGCAAGCGGCGAAACCGGGAAGTAACCCTTTCCGGTACTTCCGGGTCGCCATGGGATGTAACCTGAAAGAACATAACCTGAAGTGGACGTAGCCAGAGGTACCACTGTATATGTATATATATATATATATATATATATATATATATATATATATTTCCTCCCAGGAGCTCGAAGTGCTTCACCTCATTTAATCCCCAGAACAACCCCATGAGGTAGGCTAGGCTGAGAGGCAGCGACTGGCCCCAAGTTACCCAGTGAGCTTCATGGCCAAGCGTGGATTTAAACCTGGTTCTCTCATATCCTAGTTCCACACTGTAACCCAGGCTTCCTCAACCACGGCCCTCAAGCTGTTTTTGGCCTACAACTCCCATGATCCCTAGCTAGCAGGACCAGTGGTCAGGGATGATGGGAATTGTAGTCTCAAAACATCTGGAGGGCCGAGATAGAGGAAGCCTGCTCTAGCCACTACACTGCATCATGTTATGTAACCCCCTTAGAGGTATATTTTTGGGGAGGTGTTTAATCAAGCACTGAGACCTCCGGGTATAGGGTGGTATATAAATTCAATTAATAATAATAATAATAATATATTGTATTTTCTTTGCTGTTTTTATTACAGGTTGTTCTCTCTTTTTTTGGCATTTATATCTCACCTTTTTTCTCCAAAGAGCTCAAAGTGGTGTACATGGTTTTTTTCCCCCTCTCCAATTTAATATCCGTGTGAGGCAGGCTATTTATTGGCTGAGAGCCAGTGACTGGTCTAAGATCACCCAATGAGCTGCATGGTCAAGTGCAGATTTGAACCCTTTACATTGCCTGGAGACGTGCATGTGGAAGGCGATTAACAATTAAGAATAATAGTAATTAAATATTGCATAAATCTTGCGTGGCAGCGGCTGTTGGGGGGAAAGGCAATCTCAAGGCAGCTTGCAGATAAAATAAGAACAGATAAAATAAGAATAAGATAAAATAAGAAAGTATGCAGACAATCTCAACAGAAACAGCATGACCCTCGTTAAAAGTGACCAGTTCCCAAAAACCTCTTCACCTGCCAGCAGAAAAACTGTGCTGTGGGTGACGATTAGATTAGGCCTGCTCTGCAAGGGCACCTAACAGAGTGAAGGGGTAGAAATATTGAATGCTCCCCAATATATAGGGAAGAAGGAATCGGGAAAACTCCTTGACAGTTTAAGGTTCATAGAATCATAGATAGAACTGAAGAGTTTGAAGGGACCCCAAGGGTCATCTAGTCCAACCCCCTGCAATACAGGAATCTCAACACGTGTTCCCCCATCCAATTTGTAACCAGACCAGACTCTGCTTAACTTTGTAAATGTGCCAGCGGTTTTATTGCTGCACCAATAAGAGGACAGTTCTGTTTCCTGCTGTGCTAGATTTCTTCTTGCAGGGAGGGTTGTTTTTATGGGGTGGGGAGGTAATGCAAGGAACCGTTCAGAAATGGAATCTCCCGAGACAATGCATGTAAACCAATAAAATCTTTAATGAACATAATTTTTAAAAAAGAAAGAAATGGAATCCCCCACCTGCAGCCTGGTGTGAGTTTGGACCCGGTTTATTCATTAAGTGGTTTCATTTGCAGCATGTTTCATTCATGGTTGCTAGCCACAATGGCTATGCTTTTCCTCCACAGTCAAGAGGCTGCTTGCTTCTGAATAGCAGTAGCTGGAAACCACAAGATATTTATTTATACATACATACATACATATATACATACATACATACATACATACATACATACTGGACATACATATGAGACGCGGGTGGCGCTGTGGGTTAACCCACAGAGCCTAAGACTCTTCGAATCCCCGCAACAGTGTGAGCTCCCACTGCTTGGTCCCTGCTTCTGCCAACCTAGCAGTTCGAAAGCACATCAAAGTGCAAGTAGATAAATAGGTACTGCTCCGGCGGGAAGGTAAACGGCGTTTCCGTGTGCTGCTCTGGTTCGCCAGAAGCGGCTTAGTCATGCTGGCCACGTGACCCGAAAGCTGTACGCTGGCTCCCTCGGCCAATAAAGCGAGATGAGCACCGCAACCGCAGAGTCGGCCACGACTGAACCTAATGGTCAAGGGTCCCTTTACCTTTACCTTATACATACATACATACATACATACATACATACACAATGGGCTGCACGTGATTGGCTAATTCCGGAATTCTCCTGTAGGCCAATCAGGTTGTGGATTCACTTCCATCTGGAGCTGGATTGGGTAGCTCCTGCAGACCAATCAGACTGCTGCATTTTGGATCCTATTGTTCTAGGACCAATCAGACTGCTGCATTTTGGAACCTATTCAACTCAGTACATAACATTTTCCTTTTTAGGGGGGGAGAGGGGAGGGGGGAAATGGGGGGAATGTGGATGATGTATTTTGGATAAATTGTTATGTTGAAATCCCTAATAAAAAATATTTATTTAAAAAAAGGGGTTGATCATGGTATCTCATGAGGCTCCGCCTGCCTGCCTGTGCCTCTCTGCCCCCCTTTTCTCTCACCGTAGAAGGCCAGTTCCCAAACGTTGGTATCTACCGAGAGGCCATGACAGGAGATCCAGCAGATTCTTGTATTGCTGATTGGTCTCCTCTCGCCCTTTTCTTCCACAGGCCCTGCGTTACTTCCTATTCACAAGAATAGCTTTGGATTCTGCACTACGTGATTGGAGCTTGCTCCATGATAAGGTAAAGGGACCTCTGACCATTAGGTCCAGTCACAGACGACTCTGGGGTTGTGGCGCTCATCTCGCTTTATTGGCCGAGGGAGCCGGCGTACAGCTTCCAGGTCATGTGGCCAGCATGACTAAGCCGCTTCTGGCAAACCAGAGCAGAGCACAGAAACACCATTTACCTTCCCGCCGGAGTGGTACCTATTTATCTACTTGCACTTTGTCATGCTTTCAAACTGCTAGGTGGACAGGAGCAGGGACCGAGCAACGGGAGCTCACCCCGTTGCGGGGATTCGAACCGCCGACCTTCTGATTGGCAAGTCCTAGGCTCTGTGGTTTTAACCCACAGCGCCACCCGCGTCCCTTGCTCCATGGTATCCTCTTGAAAAAGAGGGAGAAGAGAAGATGGGGAGAGGGCTCTTGCGCTCAGATCCTGCTCGCTGGATTCGCACAGGCATTTGGTCGGCCACAGGTTGCTGGATGGATGGGCCATAGGCCTGATCCAGTGGGCTGTTCTTTAATCAGTTGTTGATTCCCAGCAACTGGTCTATAGAGGAATTCAGCCTCCGACAGTACTTGGCGGAATCCCATGCCAAAACTTTACATCCATAGGCTAAATTTTCAGAGAAGGAAATAAAGGTCAATGCCACCTTCCTTAACAGCCCCCGCACTTCAGACTTTTCTCCTTCCAAGAAGACCATGCATATTTTTTTAAATTTCTGCATGCCATGCGGTTGTGAAAGGACGGTACACTCAGCCAGCAACCCAAAATTAAAATACATTTCATTTTCGGAAAACAATATCGCCCTGTTTTTGGAAGCGGTCCCTCTCTGTGTGCCTGGAATTCAAATATTTGTTTCCTTTACCAAAAAGAACTGAAAGGGTCTCAAATATTTAACCTTTCAGAAATTTGCTATTGTGTGTTCAAAAGAGAGATGTTTGCCTCTTAGGATGATTAGGCGTAATTCAGTTTGAACGCATTAATTTGATTTAACTGTAGGATTGCTTTCCTAGGCAATCCTAGGGTGAATGATTAACGATTTGGGCTGAACAAACTCCACCGGGGCTGAACTTGCTTCTGATAGATTTTGGAGCTGGCGCAATTCACTTCAGCCTGATTTCTCTTAAGATTGTGTTGAGCAGCCTGTCTACACCGGTTCCCCTTTGTTGGATTTAATTTGATCAGGTAACGCAGTGGCGTGGGCCAGGCTCACTCAGCCAATAGCTGAGCTTGATCGGTTGCCTGTTTAAACCAAACATCCACGCAATCCAGTATCAGCCACCAACAAATTCCACAAAGGGTAGCCTGACGCCTACATCATCAAATCAAAGGTGTGTCGGCTGCTGATGTCTTGATCTGTGGCATTGTTGCAACGGAAT